TTCCTTTGCTCTTGCGCGCTCTGGACCCAGAAGCGTACGAACAACCATCCACCCCCTCCGAATCTCCATCACCTGCCACAGAGGCCATCAGGCAACCTCATCCCGTCGACCTGGTCATCTCGGACGGTGCCCCGGATGTAACAGGTCTGCACGACCTAGACATTTATATTCAATCACAACTCCTCTACGCAGCGCTAAACCTTGCAATGGGTGTTCTCCGTCCTGGCGGCAAGTTCGTTGCCAAGATCTTTCGCGGCCGCGATGTCGACCTTCTCTACGCGCAGCTGCGGACTGTCTTCGAGCGCGTCAGCGTCGCAAAGCCGCGCAGTAGTCGCGCTAGTAGCTTGGAGGCTTTCGTGGTCTGCGAAGGCTTCATTCCTCCGGTTAGCGACAGCGGAGTGGTCGGTATGGCCGCATTGAAAAATCCACTCTTCGGCGGTGCTGCAGCTCCAGTAGCTGTGTCAGAGGATGGCAATGTGGGCGTGGAGATCCGCGAGGAAATCGACCAGGATACACAAGCCCGAAATACCGTGTCGCAACCCGCGGCAGTTACCAGTCCTGCGCCCAATCATTCTGCTGAAGTCCGCCATCTTCAAACCACAACATCACAGGACCAACAACCCCAACCCCAAAAGCTGTCCAATAAGTTTGCGGTTGAGAACCGGTGGATTCCGTCGTTCATTGCTTGTGGTGATCTTTCCGCTTGGGATTCTGATGCATCATACACCTTACCTCCGGATTATGTTAATCTTGATCCTATCCAGCCACCTACTGCACCGCCGTATCGTCGGGCATTGCAGTTGAGGAAGGAAAAGGGTGGTGCATTTGGCAAGACCAAGTATGGATCCCCTGGTCACGTTTGATCATTACGTTGCATGAGTTTAAGAAAAAGTTGTATGTATAGACGACCTAGACACGACATAGCATTTTCGAGGGTCATGCTAGGAAGGCATTGTCTTCGAAGCAGATACCCAAATACATATTATTGAATCACATATATTTTAACTTTCACAAAGGGGTCGAAAATCAGGAGACACTTTATTGAAGATCGTGAAATTCTAAATGTATTATTCTTGAAGTCTTTCAAGGCCAATGCGCTAGCCGAAATCAGGATCTAAATATGAGGGGGAATAAAAAGCAAAAACATGCCAATCGTACAATCATGCCATGCGAATACGAAACAGAGTCTAGTAAACCTCCAAAACATAGCGCTCGTCATCCTTCAGCTTCTCAATCTCCTTGCGAGTCTCAACCTTCTTGCCGTTGTTCTTGGCTTCGGTGGCAATGGCCTCCTCCAGAACAGCGGTGACATCGGGCACGGGCCAAGTGGGACCGCACAGGTAGAAAGCACCCTCCTCACGAATGTAGGCCTGGATGATCTCGGGCAGTGTCTGGCGCATGCGGTCCTGGATATAGATCTTCTCGGGCTGGTCACGAGAGAAAGCAGCGCCGAGGAGAGTGATAACACCAGCCTCCTGGTAAGCCTCCCATTCCTCGCCGTAGCAGTACTCCTCACGCTGGTGACGGGAGCCCATGTACAGCAAAACAGCGCCGATCTCCTTGCCCTGAGCCTTCTCGAGGGCGCGGTGCTGGACGAATGCACGGAACGGTGCGAGACCAGTACCCAGACCGGCCATGATAAGAGGCTGGGTGGACTTGGGGGGGCAGCTTCATGACACTGGACTTGACGCTGACGGTGATCGGGGAGCCGGGTTGCAGGCGGCTGAGATAGCGGGTGGCCAGACCGAAGCGGTCGCGACCGTTGGGGTCGACCCAGTTCACGGCGACAATCATCAGAGCGACCGAAGTGGGGGTCACCTTCTGGCACGAGGCAATCGAGTACTCACGGCGCTTCAAGGGACCGATGATGCGGACGATATCGTGGAATTCAGGGTGCGCGGAGGGGTACTCGAGCAAGATGTCGGCGAAGGTGACAGTGTCAACCTCGGCGCGACGCTTGAACTCGGTGGCACCGTCGGGACCACCCAAAGTGAGCAGGTTGGTCTTTTCCTTCTCGTCGGAGGCAAATTCGGCAAGGGCCTCGTAGAAGCGCTTGGGTGGGCGACCAAAGATGTCGACATTCTGGACCAGAGCCTGGTAGACAGTGCGGTTCTCCAAAACGGCAGGGTCCTCACGGCTGGGAACCTCGACAATCGCGTCGGGGTCCAAGCCGTAGAACGCGATGAAGTTCTTAACGTCCTCAGGGTCGTTCTCGGCGTGGATACCGAGGGCTTCGCCAATGTCGTACTTCAGACCGGTCTCACCGAGGTCGAACTCGATGTGGAAGATGTTACGATCATAGGTGGTAGGGGTGAGACGTCGGTTCTCCTTGACATGGACAGTGAAAGTCTTGTGAGCAAGGTCGGGGCGAAGGGCAGCCCTGGTACCGTAAGCCTCCTTGAACGCGAGGCCACGAGCGGCAGTCTCCCAGTCCTTGAGAAGAGTGGGGGGGCTCGGACTCGTTCTTGTCGAACGAAACAAAGCTGTTGGCGATGATGTCCTTGGGGAGTTGAACGGCCTCGCTGACGCCCTCGGGCTCCTTCCAGGACTCGGGAACCTCGATTTGGCGGAGCAGCTTCTCGAGATCCTTGGTAACATTGTCCAGAGCCTCGGCATTGCCAGTGACCGAGGACAGCTTCTTGGCTGCCAGAGCCTCCTGAGCAGGCAGAGCGACGCGCACGAACGAAGCCTGCAGGACAAGAGCGTCCAGCGACGAGTCCTCGACAGCAGACGAGTCGACGACGAAGACGGAGATGCCACGCTGGGCGACAGCCTGCTTGAAGGTAGCGGGAAGCTTCTTCTCCAAATCCTCATCCTTGATGCCCGGGGCGTTAACAATGACCTTAGCGTTGTCCTTGACTGAAGCCAGAACATCAACATCGTTGAGCAGGGAGATGTTGCCAACGTAAGAAACGTCCGCACCAGTTACCGCATAAGGTGCGTCAACAATCTTAGCACTCTTGCGGATGTCAACACGGATGCTACCACCCTGGACGAGGTTGTCGTGAGTCTTGCTGAGGGTCACATTGCTGGCCGAGTCGGCGCCAAGAGCCTGGCTCAGAGTCTCAGCGGCTGCCTCGGTAACCGAGGAGTCAACATCCCAGAAAGTGTATTCCTGCACAGAGGCAGGGTCCAGCAGCTGCAGCGAAGCGTTGGTTTCGCCGTTGACCGTGAGAATGGGCTGGTCGTACACACGCTGGAATGCGGCGGCGGCGGAGATGAGATCCCAACGCTGGGAGCGGGGGTACTTGATCTCCACACAAGCCGGGTTGTGTTCACGGCCGGTGGCGAAAGTCAAAGAAGCAAGCACATCCTCATAGAGAGCAGAGTGTACGCCCTCTTCCTGAACAGCCTGTTCAGAGGCAACCTGTCCAAGAACTGCGACAGTCTTGGTGGACTGAGGAAGAACGCGCAGGAACTCCTCCTCGATGAAGGGGCGGTAGACCCGGACATTCACAACACCGACACGAACACCGTCCTTTGCGAGAGAGCGTGCGATTTGGGCAGTGAGAGTAGCCTCGACAGTGCCGAAGGCGATCAGCACAGAGGTGGGCTCAGAGTGACCGTGGTACTCGAAAGCACTGTAGTCGGTTCCGAGTTCGCCGTTCAGGGTCTTCAGGAGATCCAGAACCTTGCCTTGAGCGTCGAGGTGACGGTTGCGTGTCTCATCGAGAGTCTTGCGAATGGTCTCATAGGTGCGAGTCAGCCCATCCTTGTCGAGGACATCAATGACGCGGGTGGTATCACGGCCAACACGAACGCCGTCATAGATGTGGATGGAGGGGAGGACCGAGGAAAGCAACGTCGTGAAGAGAGCCATGTGCTGGGACTCATGGGCAGAACCGCTGGATACCAGACCCAGACCGAGGTCCTCGGCCAGAGAGAGGGCGGAGGCATAGTCGGAGACTAGGCCATCCTCGCTGGCGTAGTCTACGGCGGCGACATGTGCAGCCACTGGGCTAGCGACGGAGTAGAGCAGAGAGAGTTGCTCCAATGCGGCGCGCATATAAGGGAGGGTTGCCGAAGAAGCAACAATACCCTGGGGGATGTGGCGCTTCTTCAGATCAAAGTCCTGAGAGAAGAGGTAGCCAAGGGCCATGTTTCCGGCACCCTGGCGGGTCTCCAGAGCCTTGACAGAGGGAGACTCGCCATTGGCATTAGTCTCACCCTTCGAAGTCCATTCCTTGAGAGCAGCATCAAGGTCGAAAGTCTCCGGCGAGTAGGAGAAGATCTTATCGCTCAGCAAGTATGCAACTTGCTGGATGAGGGTCTGGGCTGTAACATAGGTCGGGCCATTCAAGGCCGACAGAGCTGGAACTGATGAACCCATGACTTCTTCTTGACACCGGATATAAGACCGATGTCTGTTAAAGATAAAAACAAAGAAGAATGTGGGGAGAAAGAGAATCTCCCCTCCTCATAGCTTATAGAGAAAACCCCAGGTCACTTGCCCAAAGCGGTTAGTGCCAATTGCGTGCTTGTTATCGGGCGATAAGATTTTTCAAGGCGGTACAAAGTGGCGGAGGTGGACCCGCCGCTTTCGGAGCATTACTCAGCCGTGCCTGAACCCGTGACCTCCCGTTCATTTCGCTGAAAAAGGAAAACCTTCATAGAAGTTTTGATATAGTTAATTAGGAGAAAGATTTCATTGTCAGAATGTGGACTCTTCGCCTTCTTAATTACCGACCTCAGCTGCCCCAACGGATATCTCATTTACAATTGAACACAATAGGGGAAAAGGAACCGACCTCAGCTTGTCAAGATTTATCAGCAATAATCGACTTTACGCTACAAACAATTGCTGGCACATTGTACAACATGGAGGCTTTTTAACACCCACAGATGATTTGATTGATTAGATAGCAAGTCTGACAGGTGATCCTGTAATTGATATAGTGCATCCAGAACATCCGGATGAAATCTAACAAGCTGCTTGACTTCGCGAATCCTTGGAGCTCAACTTTTGTTATAATTTCCGCAGTTTCCTGCAGTATAATAGTTCAATTGTTCACCCCAAGGAATACCATCAAGACCGCAGCATATGTTGCCGTAGACACCAATGTCTCCACATTCGACACACGCGCTCCAAGAGCCATAATTAGTGCAAACAAAATAATACAAACCGAAACTGTAATCAGGCTCTTAGTCTTTGACTGGTGCAGAGTCATGATGATCATAGGTACCACTAGGAAGAGACCCCCAGTCATAGCGACGAGGAACCGCGTCAATCGATCCACAAACACCGACACTTCTCGCGGTGCTTTTCCCTCACTATATTCTCTTGCCCGGGACATCTTCTCTTCGCCAGAGAACGCAAGAAATGAAGGCATATACTGCATCAAGGCCCTCCGCAAAGGATCTACTCTTTGCTCTGCGTCGTGAAAAGAGCAGTAGTGGGAGTGGAACTGGTCGTTGACTCTAGATTGGAAGTAGCGTTGCAAGAGCAACTTTCGTCTTCGTGTCTCGGCCTTCTCAAGGGCTGCTTTGCCCTTGAGGAACTGGTAGTTCCGAATTGCAGCGGCTATGGAAAATGTGAGACAATGAGAGACACTTTCTATTATGATTCATTCATCAATGACCTCTTACCATATTTCTGCAGCGTGCTCTCGAGAGTCTCCAGATCCTGAATCGACGCACGTTTGTCTCGCTGAAATCGGCCTTTTAACCGGACCAAATCTAGCTGCAGCTTCACAATATTGAGTCTTTGCAGGAATTCAAAGCGCAGGAAGTGGAATTCCTCTTCTTCGTCCAGCGAGCGGTTGATATACTCGACGAGATCATCTTCCTCCATGATCTTGGAGCTCATGGTATCCGGATGCATTTGAAGGTTTCTTTCTGCATGTGGGCCAGCGATGGTTCTCACCTTGCAGTAGTGTCGGGCCGCCCTCGTTCCCCGCTCTACCTCAGGACTCGCGAAATTCAGCTGCCGATTCTAATAATCTCATGGAGCGCAGCAAAGAAGAAGCGTCGTAAATCCCACTGATGACGGACAACACCAACCGGTCGTACATCTGCACCTGTTGTCCCATAAACCCAAGAAGATTCAGCAGTGTATACAATTTGCGGTAGGGTCTGCTGGCGTTCAACAATTGCAAAATCCCCAGCCCCCTCCCACGACTGACTTGCAAAACCTAGTACTCACGAGAGTGAAAAGAAGGCATGAAAGAGAAGCAGGACCCGGACCTGGTGGCACCTACAAAGCCGCAAGTGCCGAATGAAAATACATCACGCGAGGCTTGTGGAGTTTCCTCAAAGGAGATATATCGATGTATGGACGATCACAGTCCGGGATCACAACACTCGGTTAATTCACGGGCCTCACAGAAGTCGACGCACTCTACCGGGTCGCAGGTATCGGATGAGTCGATAGAAGCAGATCTCTCTGCCTTCTATCAGCCGGACGATCGCAGTCCGAGATCACAACACTCGGTTAATTCACGAGCATCAGAGAAGTCGACGCACTCTACCGGGTCGCAGGTGTCGGATGAGTCGATAGAAGCAGGCCACTCTCTCTTCCATGCGATGGATGATTTGATTGAGGGACATCTCAAAGATGCCTTTCCCAAGCCACGTTTTATTATTCGCAAGACAACAACGCCTGCTAGGGAGTGTTACAAAACTGGAGTTAAAGACCTGCTCCATAAGATCCACAAGCGTTACACTTTGTTGTATGGTATTAAGGATGTGGACACATGTTAGATAAGCCTTTAGCCGTGGCGATTCGGTCCGCCGTTACTGATATAAGTTTTGATTCAGGTGAACGCGACGAGAACCTCTTGGTACTGTACGACGACATGAAGCTGGCTTTCAACGGTCTCATGTCTCGGATCCTAGTGGCACAGGAGGTACCGGAGGAGGCTTATGTCGACCTGACTTTACAAGTATTGGAATTCGGTTATCGATTGGATCAATGTATGGGTCTAGAATCCGAGGAAGCAGACTCTGGGTACGCTTCCTCGCAGGAGCAGGACAGGACACGGCTATCACAGCTGGCTCACGATAAAAGTAAGTATATGGGGACCAAGAAGCATATCAAGATGCTACTATCCAAGAACTCTAGCAAGTCTCGCGGGGTCCGTTCTTCGGTTCGAAAAGCGACCGGGTGGTGGAAGTCAAAGACTGTCGTTCCCAAATCCCCCGGACTGTTCATCTGCGATTGCTGCCCTAAGAAACCCAGGAAGTTTAAGAAACCCTATGGCTTGCGGTAATTCCTGTCTTCACTTCATTTTGCGAGCCGTTCCACTAACCTCCAAACTAGCGCGCATGAAATCGAGAAACAGTTCTCATGCCAGTACTGTAACAGCCGTTTTAAGAACAAGGAGGAGGTCAAGCGGCACGAGAATGCTCTTCATCTACGCTTGTATTCGTGGTCGTGTGCCGCACTCATCAGTTTTCAGCCCGCGTTCGTCGCTTCCATGTCTCCATCTTACCAAACCAGCACCGGTCCGTCTCCTGATATGTGCGGGTACTGCGGCAAAGAATTTCCAAATTACCCCCAGGTAGACTGGGATGGCCGGTTCGAGCACTTGACGACCGTGCACAAGTTCGGCGAGTGCAACAATGCGAAGAAGTTCTACCGCGTCGACCACTTCCGGCAGCACCTGAAACATAGCCATGCTGGGACCAGCGGGGAATGGACCAATATATTGGAAAATGCTTGCATGAAGGAAGAGCAGCCCAATGGTGGTAAAACCGGCGTATCGGATGGTGCTGGCAGTGGATCAGTATCTAGCACCTAAACCGCCGTGTCGTCCAAGTCTCTTGGCAAGGTCCTCAGTGATCAATGAAAGTTCATCTGTCATATTACACTGGAATGGGCCATAAGGAGTAGAATACTATTAGAATCCTAGTTAGTTAATGTTAGTAGTTACCAATATCTGAAGCGTAAGGCTCCCATGACTAGTTAGTTATGAAGTGGGTGCGTTGCGGTCTTAAGGCAGCTGCCTGTCCTACTAAGGGTCATGTGGCCTATAAGCCTATCTAGGTATTTATTCGTAGGCTGCTTCTTTAGAGAACCGGCTTAGGATACTTGATCTTCTAGCCCTGGGGGTAGTTGAGTAGATATAGTTCCACTTGTATCTCTAGAATAATAACAACTGGTCATACACTAGATACACTAGACTATAACAGACATTGACATGTAAGCGCTTGAAACTATACAGCTACTACCAACTTATGTCAAGCACAGTATAATCAGAAAAAGGTCATGATTTGGCTATCGCCCTGGTCGGGCTAGCAGCGGACTCCCCAGTCCCCTCAACCGCCATCTTTTAAGGTCCGCAGTTTTCAGTCCAGACTCTCAGAGACTACAATATATCTAACGCATGTGCATTCTTTAATCCCGTTTGGTTGCCGGGGTCATAGGAGGTAATCAGCGGCCAGAGAATTCCGACATCAAGTTAAGTAGACTCCCTGGGTGCTGCAGCCATCTTTCCTTTTAGTTAGCTGAATTATATTGACAAACCAATAGAGGGTAATGAAACGTTCCTTATGATCCGGAGCGCCCGGGCGGACTGTCAATCGAGTTGTAGGAGCGATACAGAAGGTTCTGCGCCCTTAAGTGGCTTGGTATGCCTGTCAGGCGTAGCATTATTTGCGCTCAGATACTAACAATGCAGTGATGGCTTTTATTTCCTTTTCCTTTTCCTATTCCTAGGGGAGGATGTTCGTGGATAATTGCACAAGATGCCTGCAAGAGGGAATAAATAGCCGAGGTGGGGATAATAGCCCACATTATCACTAGTAGTAATATTGGAATTGGCCAGTGGTTCTCTGTTGTTCTATTCTTGTTCATATGACCAAAAATACTTCATGCAGAAGGTCGCATTGGTGTGCGAGGGAGTACGGCAGTGGTCGCCAGTGCTGCGCCATATCGTATTTCTGCCAGCAGAACATTTCACAAATTAATACATGTATTTTATTAACTAGAGAATTTGGAGAATTTATCAACCAAGATATTTTGTAATCCTTAAAACTCTAAGTAGAAATTATAGGAAGTGTAGAAAATGTAGAAAGCGAAGAAAGTGAAGAAAGTGAAGAAATTTAGTACTAGCGATAATTTCCACTTTCTACACTTTCTGCAATTTCCACAATTTCCATACCTTCACGTGCTTCACTTTCGATGATGTCTAGTCTATAAAGGGTGAGATATCGTACAGTGACACTATAGAATTTAATAGTATACAGTGGGACCTCCAAAATATTGGGCTAAACGTTTGTACCCAAATATACCGCCCTCCAAATTCTGCCAGTTCTGCTAGTCTAAAACTCCTAATATAGTTAGCGTGTAGGCACGTGATTTAGCGCTAACGGTTAGCAGTTAAAAAGGTATGTACCTAAGGAGGCTACTAAAAAAGACCACTAAAAAGACATTTAAAAAGACTACCTACGAAACCATTCGGCTGAGTATATATTCTTACGGTAGCATGTTCAATAGGGAGGCGGTATTTATGACAGTATCTAACGGGCAGGCGGTATGTGTGCGGTAAAATGTAGGTACAAAGGTCTAGCCCAATATTTCGGAGGTCCCACTGTACAACATAGGAATTAATTACTACCTAGAATTCGTCTGAAAAGGTAATGGTAAATTGGCGGTGTAGAAAGCGGTCAAAATTTAATACGGAAAAATACGATATTGCGTACTGGCCGCTATACTCGGCCGTAGAGGGAGTTCAGCTAGCCCCACAAACGTATTCCTGCCTCACTCTTAGTCTCTAATAAGCAAGCAGTAACTTTATATATCTACTCGCTCCGTTAGTCCTTGTAAAAGCTACTTATTTTCTGCTCTTCTTAGGCTTTAATTTCGCCACCATTATATCGTTGAGCTGATCGTCCGTCTCTGTACCTCGTATAATGTAGGTACCTATTCGCTGTGTTCTCTGGTCGGACCTAACTGTCATATAGACTGGTAGTAAGATGAGTTACACTCTCCCCGTGGTGATCGTCAATGAGACCAATGAGGCCCTCACGGTAGTTGACTGCTGGTACTACGCGAACAGCGGCACTTGGACCGAAGAAAAGTGCGACAAGATTGTGCTCGAGATGGGTGGGAGCGGCACATCAGGCATGCTTCGTATCAAGACCTCATCAGGCACTACGTTCAGTGTCATTGTGGGTTGCCACAATTACGACTTCTGGTGCGATGCGCAAGTGGATCTGTATGACGATGATACGGCAGTGAAGCTGCATCCTGAGTACTACAACGGAGGGATCCTATCTCACAAGCCGCGATCTATCACTGAACGCACGACTTCAGCCGGGAGAACGGTACGAGTCTATTTGCAGGGCTTGCCATGTGGTCGACCACCTGTTATTATCACCTATTGTTGAAGAAGCTGGAACTTCCAGGAAGCCTCTGTTCCAACTAGAAGCGGGATAATTTCTGTTTAGATTGAGCGAAAGTGTCGCTTTATTTGTACTGAACTTGTAGTCTTGGCTTGTTGGCTCCCTCATCTTGTTCGTTCCCTTTCCTAGGATAATGCACAATTGAGCGGACCTAGGTAGTTAGGGTATTGATTAGAGTCAGATTCGGAGGCTTAGAGACACTATGCCTTGTTGCTTTGCGTTATCATACTCTACTACATTATTATTTAAGAGAGAACAAGACCAGAAGATTGTGTACCTCTAGGCATGGCAGCGCGGTGGAAAGTGCCATCAAATAGTGACTGCAGAGTGCTCGTTCAGGTATGGACTGAGCGTAGACTAACTGCCTAATATATACCCTTTTGATCAGTCTCTGGGCATTTAGCGAGCGATCAGTGAGTATAGAATCACCATCAGTGAGCGCTAAGCGCTCATCGGACAGGACCTAACTGGTTCATCAGATGCCTCTAAGCAGTTCACTAAGTCTGAGGCCGAACAGAAATTTGCTGAGCTTGAGACAAGCATCCTCATAAAAGCGGCAGCTAAGGTAAAAAAAAGACCCGAGGAGATATGGTACATCTAGTTACCTAGTAGGTATGTATACGTATGTAGGAACCCGTGGATGTTAGCAATGAGGGCGCCACGTGATGTGCTTGTGCACACGCTTGTGCACGGGATCACAAACCACACCGAGCCTCGGTCGTCAGAATGCGGAGAAGCCATTCCATCCCCTCATAGATAATTGATGCTGATACATAAATACCAATTTAGTCAATTTCATATTGCCAAATACGTCTTCTAGTAGTATATCTCTTTGTCAACTCTTTCATCATGGCGTACAATTCACCAAATCCCATCCCATTCTCAGAGCCGCCTTATATTCGTGGCCTCCCTTCTCCCTACATTACGCCTGCCCACCGTCGCTTCCAACAAGCATGCCGTAAATTTGCAACAGAGAACTTGATTCAGCATGCATTGGAGTGGGAGCGCGAAGGAACAGTCCCTGAGCATGTTTTCCACACATTCTGCAAGCATAATATGCTGTTGCCCAACATGCCGGCCCCATTACCTGTGGATTGGTTGAAGCGCCTGGGAATCAATGATATCCTGGGAGTCAAGGTCGAGGATTGGGACTATATCTACACCGGAATTTACTGTGATGAGGTATGCCACGAAATTATCTGACCATATGTAATTGCAAGGTATTTGACTGATTAATTGCAAATAGATGGCCCGTTCTGGTCTCAGTGGCCCCGGTGGCTCCCTGAATGCTGGGTTCGCTTTTGGAATTGCACCAATATACAAATTTGGTAGCACTGAGTTGCAAGAGCGGTTCTTGCCCGAACTGCTCACAGGTAAGAAGCGAGGCTGTATTGCCATCACGGAACCTGAGGCCGGGAGTGATGTCGCAAACATCACCACAACTGCTGTCAAAAGTGCCGATGGTCAGCACTACATCCTGAACGGATCCAAGAAGTGGTAAGAGGCAACTCCGCAGTGATAAGAAAAATGTCAGCTGACCCCAATAACCAGGATCACAAATGGTATCTGGTCAGACTATGCTACCATGGCTGTGCGGACCGGTGGACCAGGAGCCGCAGGTCTTTCCGTTCTGGTTGTGCCTCTAAAGGGCCACCCCGGTGTTTCCATGCGCCGTCTCAAAGTCTCAGGTCAGATCACAGGCGGTACCACCTACATTGAGCTCGACGATGTCAAGGTTCCCGTGTCAAACATCATTGGCAAAGAAGGGGACGGCATGCGTATCATCATGACCAACTTCAACCACGAGCGACTTGTTATTGCCGTTGGGGTCACTCGCCAAGCTCGTGTGGCCCTTTCTGCCGCTTTCTCGTACTGTCTGAAACGCGAGGCTTTCGGAAAGACGCTCATGGACCAACCCGTGGTCCGCCACCGTCTTGCCAAGGCAGGCGCTGAGCTTGAATCTATGTGGGCGTGGGTTGAGCAGATCTTGTACCAATTAGTTCACCTCAGCAAAGAGGAAGGAGATCGTCAACTCGGTGGACTGACGGCATTGGCTAAAGCAAAGTCTGCTATGGTTTTGAATGAGTGTGCCCAAACAGCCGTTTTGTTGTTTGGAGGCAATGGATTTACCAAAACTGGTCAGGGTGAATTGGTCGAAGGTATGCTCACAGGAGTATCATTATGCGTTTGAAACAAGCTAACCACGTCTCTAGCCATTCTTCGCGATGTTCCTGGTGCCCGTATTCCAGGTGGCTCAGAAGACGTGCTGCTCGATCTGTCTGTGCGCCAATTGGTCAAGCTCTATCAAGCCGAAGAGAAGAAGCTCTCCCAGAATGCCAAAATTTGATTGGCCTGTACACAAACCTTTGGTTTTTGAGGAGTATCACTTATCCGGCTGTTTCGGCTAATATACTCTAACTTCCATTGATGTCAATAGACAGAACAATTTTACCTCATATTAGGATTCTTTTTGTTGCAGTTGAGCATAATCAGCCCAGACCTAAAAAGGCTAAGCATTCTTAGGGCTTGTAGTCTCTCCACTGGTTCCTACTCTACGCCTCCTCGAAGTCGCACGAACTACCGCGTCTTGTATCGCGTCCAAAGCAGACTCGAAATTGCACTCATCTTAACCTGCAGACGTACGCGAAAACAAGAGACATCATGTGATATCTCCATGGATCTAAGATCAACTATACTCATACAGACCTTTACGCCATCATGGCTTTTGCATTTGAAAGCTAAATGTCTTCTGATATTTTGAGCAATTCTACCATAATATAATAGCAACCGGCAATTGACGCTCTTCCTGCTCAAATAAGTGCGTATCTCCAAGGAAGTCATCTAAATTGGACTTTCATCCCTGTGCACAATCCATCAAAGTAAATACCACATGGTTCGACTTCGGTTTGTCGCGGGGAACCCTTGAACTTCATGGGCTTCCTGATAGTCATATTTTTTGGCTTTCCTTCGGGACAGTGTTCTCGTGGGCTTCGTTTGTTTTATGTATTTCTAGGCTTTTCTCGTCGACCCGCGCTACTTTCCACCTGAGATGACTTCTTTGGTGGAGCTTTCCTTGGAGCTTTCCTTGAAGAAAGATTCGCTTGGAGATACGCTTGAAGATTCGCTTGAAGGTTTCCTTGAAACTTCCCTTGCAGCCATTCTCACTTTTACCAAATTCTCCAGTACCGGATACATCCTTGCCGCGGGCAAGTCCAGTAGACACTTTCCATCAACTACTTGGTCTGCACGAGCTCCGTGCTCCAAGAGTAGCTCTATCAACACAGTATTGATCTGATGTTGCTTTTTGTTCTTTTGCTTTCGCAAACGTGTTTTCAGAATCGTGTGAAGAGCCATGGCACCCTTTTCACCACGGCAGCGAGTACTTGCTCCTTGTTTCAAGGCCTGTTCAAAGATGTCCGGATCCCCAAATCTGGTACCTAGTGGTGGCTCTCTTCTATGGTTCTGTATGTTAACATCGGCACCAGATCTCAAAAGCAATCCCACAAATTCTTTTTGGGCCTTCTTATTTCCTAGGAAGGCGTTCTGGACAAAAGAAACATGAAGGGGGGTGTTTCCTCGCGAGTCTCGCGCATTTAAATCAGCACCATAGTCGAGAAAGAGACGGAACAGTTTCTTCATCGAAATCCATGGCCTCCTAGTCATCCTGTGTAGACAGGTAGGCAATCTTTTACCATATTGGAAATGTGGATCTGCCCCGTGAGCCAGCAGCAACAAGATCACATTGACAAGCTCCTTGTCTCCTTCGGGCGGTGGATTGTCCCATGTCTCCGAGCTCCAAGGATTTTGATCGTGAGATGGAGCGTTATATTCCAGAGCACGTCCCAGAGGACAAATACCGCTTGAAACAAGGTCTACATGAGCTCCATGCTGGAGGAGTAACCTGGTCATGTTGTAGTCTCCTAGAGTCACAGAATATTGCAACGCGGACGTATCTGTGTCGAGATTGACTTGGGCTCCATTGCGCAGAAGGAGCTCGGCAATATTCGTATGACAATATTTGATGGCATGGAGTAAAGGTGTGTTGGCCGACGTGAGGTACCGGGAGCACAGTGGCATGTTCACATCTAGGTTGTTCCGCGATATCATGCGCTGGACTCCCGATTCAAATCCTCTTTTTATCAACCATCGCAATGGACGATTTCCGGTCAGTACGCGTTCATCCTCGTCCACCTTGTACAAGAGATGAATCACGATATCATGAAGCATACGATTGCATAGTAGGAGTGGCAGCATATTTTTCCGCCATGGCAGATACGAGACAATAAGACATATTACTTCGATGGGCAAGGAGTCAAGAGACATTTTGAAAGGAAATTAGAACTCTGTCCACGACACGAGGGGTATTCTACAGTATATACCCAAGTCGAGGAGTTGGGTGTAATGATTATCATTTCAGTAAACCGTTATTTAGCTCTAAAGTTTCTCGAGATGATGAGCCTACTATGACTCGATGAAGTAGTCGGGTGCACTTTGCCATTTACTAACCATTGATTTATATCTATTCGAAGCGTTGAGCGCGCAATCATGCTTGAACAGTAATCTTCTGCTCTTTGAGTAGGCGCTGTGAAGCATAGCATCGCTATATTTAATCATCTTCTACAAACGTTGACGTGACCATCAATTATATGTACAAGTATAACCTTCACGTCAACCTTGGGATGGCTAAATGAACCTTGTGTCTCCATGGAACATTCTACTAGTAATTACTCCGCTCTCGGGGGAATATATTGAATCCTGACATTGCTCAAAATTCAAGTAAACATGCAGTTGACCAATACGTCAAAACAAAAGCGTATCATGTTTTTCCCCTTTTAGAGAGCCATGGCTGTAGAGCAGAAAAAAGTGTAGCACCAGGTAGGTCAAGAGGGCACTGGCCAGAGTCATCCGCGTAGTCTGGACAGACACCGTATTCAAGAAGCAACCCGATCATAGCATCCATCTTACTGAAGTCATATGGATCTCTCAATCTACCGTCATTCATATCCTCCAAGTAGTCCTGAAGCTTGTACCGAAATGAGTCGGTGCGTCGGACCTGAAACTCGTACCGAAGCGAGTCGGTGCTTGGGTCCTCCTCAAAGTAACTGGTTAGCCCATCCTTTATGAGATAAGTCAGGAGCTGAGCCCCTTCTTTGCCATGGCATTGGACTTTGGCGCCCGCATCGAGGAGCGGCTTCGCTAGGTTTATCTTCCATGGGAACAACATTGCATGCTCCAATGGCGTTCTCGAATCTCGGTCCCTCGCGAGCACGTCGGCTCCCCAGTTTAGGAGCAATTTAAGTAATCCTTCTTGTGTCGTATCATCATCAAAAAAGTCGCGTGTGATTACGAGATGCAGGAAAGGCCCTTCACAACATGTGGAGTTCACGTCGCCTCCGTATTCGAGGACTAACTCAAGATCCTCAATGTCTCCGCGATATATAGCGCTTTCAACCGGATCTCTGAGATCTTCAGGTTTAACTTCAGCTCCGTAAGCTATAAGCAATTGTGCAAAAGCTTTAGATCGTCTGGCGTCGCAGTATGCGCCCTCGAAAGCACGAGATATGGCTGACCCACCCCTCTCATCCTTCGCGTGCACGTCGGCGCCAAGATATAGGAGGAGCTCTATGACACCGTCATCAAGAGACCCGTAATGCTCCACCGCGTCATGAAGAAGGGATTTTTGATTCAAATCGGCACCATACAAATGCAGCACCAGCACCACAGCACGGAAATCGTAGTTGGGTGCTACTTCGGGTTCGGTGAAGGGGTAATCCTCGCCGCAACGACCAGCCTCCACCCAGGCCATTGTGCCTCCATGTTCTATAGCGCGAGACAGAGTGATCTTATCTCTTATCTTCGCTCCGTTTTCAAGGAGTAACAGAGTCATAGCCCCATTCCCCCGCCCTACGGCCACGTCCAAGGGAGTGCAGTCGGTGAATTCCGCATTCGGATCAGCTCCATGTCTCAAAAGCAGTTTTGCCATTGTCAAATTGTCATCCTCGACAGCCAAGTGTAGAGCTGAAGTTGTCTGCGATCTTGTTATTCTGCCATTTTCTTCCTTGTACAACGATAAGTGCGTGTTCAGATCTGCTTTCCAGAATAACAGGTGATGCATCCCTTTTATAGCACCATTCATTGCACACCAAATCAAGGCAGTGTTTTATGGATCGCAATCAAGATTCCCTTTATAAATATCACGAATTAGGAGGTCATGAAGAAATCTGTTGGTGCATGCCAATTCAAACATATCTCCAAAATATGGTAGCTTCCACGCTATCATTCTTATTATTTCAGGTGGTAACGAAAGGAGTGGCATTTTGAAGGTCACTACCCAGGTGGGGAGGTTTGGAACTTTTTGCTACGAGCCCCTTCCTGCCATCCCCACCGCCCGCATATTATATCTACTATACACAACATATCTACGGATGTATATAGCTACCTAGGTATTTATATCTATATAGTATTCGACTTATAATAATTGGGGGCTTAAAGATTGGGATCACCAGAAATTATCGGTGCGTACTATTATCCATGGATGTTTCTTCACTGGTTATGCACACATTATTGTGCATTACTGTGCACAAACCTGTCAGCGCTTACCCAATGCAGTTTAGCTCTTCCTCGGGATGACGAAAGACACTGCGGCCTAGATTGGGTTCTTGAGCTCCCACAGCACTCCCCTCTTGATATCTTATGCTGTACAAACACAACGGAGATCTACTCTAATTGCAACTTGAGATATACAAACATGGTGAATGCCGCATTGATCGGTGGTACGGGTATGGTGGTAAGTGTCCATCCTGCAAGCAAAGCTCCTCAATCTACTCGTGCGCAACTTCGCAAACATACCGGGGCTAGAACTTGGGCTAAGTGGTATAACCGATAGGGCTCCCATATCCTCACCAGCCTTATCTCCAATCCCACTGTAACCCGCGTGGACACCATCTCCCGTCGCACTCCGCCAGCTACTAGCGGCACGCCCCCAGCCAAACTCACCAACTTCGTCTCTAGCGATACCGCCACCTGGGCAAGCCAGCTCTCCTCCCTCACCCCAACCCCCAGTATCTTCTTTTCCGCCTTCGGAACCACAAGAGCAGCCGCAGGCGGGTTCGAGAACCAATACAAAGTCGAGCATGGGCTGAATGTCGAGCTGGCCAAGGCCGCGCACGAAGCTGGCACTAAAGTCTACGTGCTGATCTCCTCTTCCGGCGCTAACAAGGACTCTAACCTTGGCTACGCCCGCATGAAGGGCGAGATCGAGGAGGATATCAAGAAGATTGGCTTTGAGCACATGGTCATTCTGCGCCCTGGGCTGATTGCTGGTACTCGTGAGGAAAGCCGGCCGCTCGAGGCTGGGATTCGGTTCGTTGCGAACTGGGCTGGCAAGCTGCACTCTGGTCTGAAAGACGGGTGGGCTCAGGAGGCGGATGTTATTGGGAAAGCTGCTGTCAATGCTGGTCTCAAGGCGCTGGAAGGTGATGTTCCTGAGGGCAGTGAGAAGGTCTGGACCTTGTTTGGCAGTGATATTATCAAGTACGGTAAGGAAAGTTCGTCCTGAACACCTCGCGTTTGAATGAGCTATGTCTGTTTGTAAATCCACACTTGTATAATCATTATGGTTTGGGCTTTATGACCTTATGCGGCTATGGACAAAACACTTGATTGCATTGATCGAAATTTCAATATGACATGTATTTGGAAATGCCGAAGACCCTGCATGACATGATCATTTATCGCCCGCAACAGTATGAACAGAGCATTCAATCCCGGTACGAAACATGAGTCCCATCCTCCTTCACATGAATACTGCGGCCCTTCTTCGGCGTTCCGCGAGTGCTGGAAGCCTCACGATCCCGATTCCGATCAGGCCCCTCCTCACCCGGGTGCCTGTAAGTGCTGGCACCCTTATTGGCTGGACTCATATTAAGAGGACTCCCCTTCTTGCCTTCTTGCTTGCTTTCCTCTTCAGTTGCCGCGAGCTCGCTCTCCGGCGCTGTGTTCGATGGGTCGAATGCAGAGGGGTGTTTGGCGACTTCGGCGTCCGTACCAGATTTGGCAGTCTCTGAGCGCTCTGGGTTCAATGTTTCGCGGTCGAGCGAGGTCTGGCCCTTTTCAACCTGAGACAGTGGGGTTGTGCTGAAGGGCGTTCTTGTTGCTGTTGGGATGGCGAGGGATTGGGTGGTGGTTTTTGAGACCTGGCTCCGACTGACTCGGGTGGCTTGCTGGCCGGCTGAAATGATGGTTTTCCACATTCTGTGAGATGTGGATATGAAATTTGGAGATGGTTTCAGGAGCGGAGTGAAGTGGTTCGCGGAGATATCTCGTTGTGGTTGGGCTTGGGTATCGAGTTTGTAAGTGTAATGTATTGGAGAAAATCAATTTGCTAGACAGAGAAATTGTGCATTGTTACTATCAGGGAAAATTGATTAAAAGAAGTCTCTCACTCTTCTCTGCGTTCCAAGTTCTGTAGCCATAGGATCATATTGACGTCACTCGTCCAGAAGCAGTCGGGCTAACCTAATCGGGTAATGAGCTTGCCCTAAGAGACCAACTACAAATGAAATGAAAGGCCCCTTAGAAGTCCTAGCTGCTAATTCGCGTTGGTCTGATATACCAATTTACTTAAATCTACATTGGGATCCTGGGATCATCTGGCATGTCCATAATGTTATATCATATATAGCCAAAGACAAGGGATTGATGTGGAAGCAGGTATCACCAGTTTGCAAGCAAATTGAATCGACATTAGGAAAGGGACAGGAGGTTTCTATACAGAGAGGCCTACTGCAACGTTGGAGTGCATCGTGTAATTGAGAATGATATTGGGGAGTAGCTGCAGAAGCTAAACTAAAGTGGGGGGGCACTCTAGCAATGGAGTCCAATAAGTGACTTGCGGTTGAGGTAGTGGTGACCATTACCACACGCAATATCGTACCCACCATGTGAACTCTGTGCTCGGCCACGAACGTACTTCTGGTCGACCGCCACACCATGTAGATCCAGGTCATATTCTGACGGCTGACGGGCCGCCAGCCGATCAGAACATGTCGCTAAATTATGCATGGGAAGGTGACGTTGTTCTTTCCGGGCGTCCCAGTAATAGGCAGAGGCGCTGTTGTAGAGGGGTTCGAGCGTGCACGGTGAGCGGACTAACTCGAGAGCAGACTCGCCAGGATATTCGGCTAAAGCCTTTGCTAATCCATCAGTTTCCGTATGTGTTCGCCCACTTACTTCATTGCGGGATATTCTCAATTGTAGCATCGTAGCATTGTAGGCACAAATTATTTCGTTGCTTGCAAAGAAGAGCCGGCAAGGGTTGGGGGGATCATAGCCTGTGTTTCTTTCCTTCAAAGGTAGGGTACGAGGACGACGAAATGGATGGAGCCGGATGTGTTGGACCTTGTTGGAGCTAGAGAACAATTGGCTTGGTTATCCAAAGAAGGTTCTAAGGTTGCTTGGAGCCAACAGACTCCGAGAAGGTGTGGAAAGCAAAAGCAGAAGCAAAATGTGTGTCCAAACTTTAAGTAGATAAGATTGACATATGAAGTGTAAATATGCGCTTCCCTATATTAATTATTTGCTTCGCTCCGCTCAGCAAATCAATATCGCAACAATGCCCTCCAAGTGTTGGAGCGGCCTAGCTCATACGATGTAGAATGGCTTCTTTGCAACGTAGGCAGTGGTAAATGATGCCAGAAGAAAAAGAAAAGAAAATAGTGCCCCTAGAACGTGATTTGGTGCTGTGTTCACAACGTGTGCCGCAGGTAGAGCATCTGGACAGGTAGGTATGTCAATGATAACGGGGAACACGCGAATGCGAGGGCCCACTCAGAGAGAAATTACGATCTACCAATGAGAGGTAGTTGTAGGCCTCATCCAACGCAAGTGCTGATGAGATGCACATGCCTCTTTGGAGTGGGGAAAGGTGTCGTTAGTTGCATACAACTGACATCCCGGCTAACGGTTGCCATTGGACGATTGGGCCGGCTGCAGGTGAGGATAAGTTGACCGGTCGACCAATCCCCGTACGCCTGACAGAATGTCGACAGTGGGGTTTTTTGCTGTCCAGCACCAAAGGTAGCATTAACCTCAACGATTTGTCGCCGGCCAAAGGCACGCGTGGGTAGGGTGCGGGAGTCTCCGTTCACTTTCATATCACGGGACCAAAAGAGCCCGACGCTGTGGGAGCCTGTATGCGGGTCCTGGAATTCAATTTTAACGTTGAGGCACGGGCTTCTCTGGTTGATAGCACTCAAAAGTGGCCTGCGGTAGCTCCAAGCAGATCAAAAACGCTTTAGTATTTCACCCGGCAACTTCGCTTGTTGGGCAGAAACGACAACCATGCTTTTCCCAGACCCTCGGGCTGATCCTGGCCAGGAGAAACTTTGGTACACTAAGGATGGGCGAGGGGATTTCGGCGGTAAGACGGAGTGAGAGACAAAAGAGCAGGGGGGCACCGGAAGTTGATTCGAGAGCTTTTTGGGGCTGGATGCAACCAGCTCGCCGCAGCAAAGGATAGATCCACTGAGTGTTATGGCCGTCTTGAGGCTGTGAGCCATCATCAGGGATGCCAGTTGCCAACTCAACACCTTGCCATGGATCATCTTCCTGGGTCCAATGCTGGGCGTGATTGAGCGGCATTCCCCGACGATCGCTTGTCGTATTGGTGCATTTCTCAGAGAAATCGACCAGAACGGCAAGCACAGAAGTCTGCAAGATTTTCCATTCCACATTGGCAATCAGTCATATTTCGTCATTGTCAATAACGCGAATGGCATATGGCTCCCTGGTGGAGCTTGCATAGAATCCGTAAACGGCGATCCACGGCCTTCGAGCCAGCCATCGCTACCAGGAATTGATGCAGAAAGCCAGAAACAACGTGCCACGTCAGAGTCCCTGAGCTTTGGTGCAGCTGCATGTGGTTCAACAATATGTGGAATGTGTCACGGTTCGTGTCTGCGGCGAGCGCCGTACATCAATCCGATCCTATCATTTCCGCCATAAGGAGCAAGTGGATGATGGTGAACACACACATGAGCGGGGCCAAATGCAGGATCCCTCTTTGCAGGAGTGAGAGATCAGCTGAACGAAAACGGATCTATCTGGCCTGCATCCCCAATTTTTGGGGTGTGGCACAATAAATTTCAAGTGTGTGGACCGTGTCCTTGAATCCCAGTGCCAATGATAGGGCCCCGGAGACTGTAGCATTGCCACTTGAGTGAGGGCTATTGGCTGAAAGCCACGGACCGGAGAAGTGCGGCAGGGTGGAAAGACGGCTAAGTCTGAATTTCGATGGACTGGCGAGTAAGGCTCGGCAGCAATAAGACGACAGGGGGTAATAGTTGCAACCACATGAGACCCAATAAGGGTTTCCATTATTGCCCAAATGCAGGAAACGTAGGAACCATGAATTGGAGTGAAGGCAATAACTCGGGATGTGCATGCGTCTGCAATCACACAGACAGCAATATCGGATAGATACTTCTGCGGACAAAACATGGCGTTCGGTCAGAATCCCGTGTCAGTGCTCATGATAGATGAGGCATTGAGCCAATCAATAATTGCGGCTGTCGAAAAATTGCATCAAGATATAACAACCCATTGTGGTGGAGTCACAAGTGGCGTGCAGAGTCCCGTCACATTTGCGAAGGCAGTAGCTTTTCTCTTGCATGTAGACAGGGTTATCCCTGGGCATGAAATCCTGATTATTGCATCAATACGACAGCTGGCAAGCACCGGGACGGACTCGACCATGCAGGATCAGCCACGCAAAACGCAAGAGAATCACAGGAGTGCGAGTCCATGCGAACAGCATCCACATGAAAGCGGGGAGAGGCAGATGGCGACGGCATAATTGCAGTAGTCGAATCTAGAAACTAGAGGATTGCAGCCGTGAATTGAGGGATTTTCGGCCCATCGTACATCATCAGCATGAGGAGGGACTCGCCACGGCTGAGGGTTGCATGCATCCATGAAGCAACCGGTTGTTCATAGTGGCTCCATTCGAGATACCATGGCCATCGTATTGTCTCCACTGCTTGGAGAACTGCTCCCAGCCAACCGGATCAACCGTCAGGCAGGTGCGATGTGAAAACCACGGACTGGAACCACGGATGAAAAGCCATCGGGCACTGACAAACGTCGATCAACAGTGGGACGAGCAAACATGGGAGAATAGAGCCGTGGCATAGAAACTTCGTCCGAAACATAAATAAGCCTGTCAGCGCCCCCAGGACGCCGTGAAGTTCTCAATCATCCATCCAGTTTCATAATTCGAGTCTGAAATCTTCAAGCCAGGCCAATAGATCTTCTTCATAAAAACGATTCATTCGAAATTTGTTTCAACTTTGTTGAGCTTTCTCAGTCCTTTAAAACCACAGACAAACGCCGGCCTATCAAATCTGGCAAGCGCAAGTGTACTGTCAGGTGCAACCAATAGCAACCCAGTATTCAAGCTGAAACAAAGACGGAGCCGTGAGCAAGTGGGTTATGTCGTACTTGCAGATTGAGCAGCACTGACAGATCTGATAGGCATGTGCTTTTACAACCAAAAGAGATTTGCGTGTGGAGACTGGAGCTGGACCAGCTTTGCTCATCGATGCAATTATGAATATCGCACCGGCGAGACATGCGGTATGAGACTCGTCAACATGACTGAGAACGAGAAGACAAACTGCCGTCTCTGCGAAAAGATCGAAACCAAATATCGCCGGCGTAGTGCCGAAGTCGACCGTTTGGACCGGTGGAAGCGAGAGGGTGCCACACTTGTGGCCTCGATGGATCGGTCTCACAAACTCATTATGGACTTGGAGAAAAGAGATCCGCTCCCTGCAGCGGGAGCGGGACGACCGAAGGAGCACTCTCCTAAGATAGGATTGGTTTGGATTTGTAAAACCGGTGTTCCTTTGGTTTTTCTGGCTTTTTTTTTCATTCTTTTTCGTTGGACAGCAATTGTGTTAGCCTGTTTCGGGTCCTTGGTGGCCAATTACCCTGTCGTTCTTTTCGTTGCCTGTCACTGTTTCTTTAGGGGGATTTGCAGCGAGTTTCATGTTTCACCATTTGTCCGTGACAGTAAGTCCGAATCGAGGTTCTGCAAGGTGATGGGAGAACCAGATCGCCTCCGAAAAGATTGACGAAGAATTTGATTGGTTCAGTCTCCATACTGTTTTCCGTCGATAGGCTGCTAAGCTCCTAAAAAAAAATGTCAATAGGGACTAGTCATGTCATAAGCGCCCTGTTTTGCTGGGTGAGCGGTTCGCTGAGACAGATTGAGTCTCACAAGACAAGAAGTGGCACCTGCTGCAACCAGACAAAAGGCCCATTGAGGCCTGACGAATATTAAGTAGCCATTCAGAATTGAGATAAATCCTTGAAATGAGAGCCGTGGTGTCTGGTGTCAGAACAAGGGCACATAGTGTGGAACAAAATGCCCCTCATCACATACCCCCGCACGTGACGATCCCTGCTTAGATAACCTAATAAGATGGCCCCGGGGACCTGTCACAACCTTGGAAACAAATGGATCTGAGCAAAATCCCCAGAAAAGAGCTGGAAATTCGAGGCAGTCCTGCGGGTTGGCGGTGTTGTGAGGAAGAAGCTCGGGCTAGGTGGGCTAAGGTGGGTTCCACTTCCCTTGCTCTATACTCCCAGGACCTTGGGCAACTCCAACATCGCAAATCTTCAGCCCAGCTTTAAGATGATGAGTTTGGAAAATCTAGGCAAAATAACAACATGTTTGGTATGTGCCAGTGATATTAATAAGGGAGAGAAAAAGGGAAGAGATATCGAATTGAAGGCTACAGAGCGACGAGCTAGGAACTATATATCATGGCCCTATAATCGGAGAATTTACTGATGCTGGCTAGAGCCCGCATGCCCCTAAGCAACATCCATGTCTCTTCAGCCTACGTGTACCTATCTGCTTCAGCATACTCCAGGCAAACAGCATCGAATTGGAATGCAGAAGTGAAGGAGAGCGCTGAGACTGGGCCGATGTGCATGCCACGTCACAAGAGAACAACACCAGACGCAGCCATAAACAAAAGCAGGGCCTGATAGATAGCAAGACCAAAATGAGATAATGCTAGGATATTGCAACCGGGTGATTATGGTCAAAGTATTGGATTCGAGTATCTGAAACGGAAAAAAGAACAAGAGAGGATTTAATCTATTTTATGTCACCAGCCTCGGGCTCATCATCGACCTTGGCCAGCCCTTGTTCCCGAAGAAGGGAATCAATCTCATCCGCAGTCCATAGGTGTTGGTAGATCTTGCCATCCTTAGTCTTGCCCACTGTTGCAAACTCGACTACGCAAAGTACAAATGTTAGTATGATGAAATGAAACAAAATGCAAAAGAGATCACCGAGAAACTTACTCTTCTCACTGCTCAGCTTTGTGGAGTCCATAGTCTTGCTCAGCACCTTAACAGCCATAGCACAAGCCTCCTTGAGATCACAGTCCTCCTTGTAATCTTGCTTGAGGAGACTCTGCGCGCTTGCGTTGTTTGCGCCAACGCTTGTCGCTTTCCAGCCTCCGTAATTTCCACTGGGGTTGCTCTGATACAACTGGAATTGACGGAGGTGGTCGTACCCGGCGTAGATGAAGGAGACACCGAACGGACGGAGACCTCCGTGTTGGGTATATCCTTGCTTCAGATCACACAATCGGCGGACAAGCTGTTCGCATGGAATGTCTTCGTTGTACGTGAGGAGGTAGCGTTGGGCGTTCTGGCGAGCATAGTTGATCAGAATGTTGGCATCGGCGTTCATACCCGCAACGGCGCAAATCATGTTACTGGAAAATATTAGCTACTTATCCCAATAGCAAACGGAGTAAATCTGGCCATTTCGGCTCGAGACGAAATAAATGGTGGGGGTTGGCGTACTCGTTGATTGTGTAGAGCTTCTCAGCGGAGGTATCCTGCTCCAACAGCTTGCTGGTCACCTTCCTCTCAGCAGCAAGGACAATTCCATCCTTGGCTAAGATACCAAGGGCTGTGCCGGCATGAGAAATAGCCTCAAGTGCATATTCAACCTGGTAGAGTCGACCTTCTGGGGAGAAGATGGTGGTCTTTCGAACAGCGTCATAGGTTAGCTGGAGCTGCACAAAAGCAATGACGGTGTGCACAAACCCTCGAATCGTATCTCCGAGACATCGTGTATGAATAAAAGAAAGCAACAAAAAATCAGAAATGGGCTAAAGGTAAGGGTTGATTGTGCGGAAGAGGTGGTTCGGGATGGTGAAGGTCGGTGGTGAAGACGTAGAAGCTCCAGGCAACTCGCCCTGGCGCGTCCTCTGTCATCCGCCAAGCTCGGACCACTTCACCACACCAAAGCTTCGTTGCGACAATTTCACCACTTTGACCCGCAAGGACGGACTACAAGGCCGACTGACCCGTTACTTTGCATTTCAATTGATTCATCTCGATCGTCATGCTCAGATCAACATACACCGCTCCTCCCCTTTGCCTCCGGGATGGACACAGCATCGGGCCCCCACAGGTAGGTATTGCGTTCGATTCGAGTGAAAAGTTTTGGCCGTCCTAACTATTAAGCCAGGTCATTTGTACTATTATAATTCTTCAACGAAGCAATCGACATATACTCGCCCCCAAGAAACCACCCCTCAGCCCATTCAGGC